TTAACGCACATACCCATATAACCCCTATATAACCCTATATATCCCTAAACCCTAAACCCTTTATAATGGGCTTAGGGTCGTGGGCTGGACAGGACATGACGTGCTCTGCCTTCCCATGGAGCTCCCTTGGGCTCCTTGGTGTTTGACTTTGCGGCACAGGGCTTTAGAGAGTGTAGGGTGAGAGGTTTAGGGTTTAGGGGTTAGGGTTTAGGGTTTAGGGTTCAGAGTTTAGGGTACACATTGTTCAGTGTTTCTCTGATTGCTCGTGGGGGGGGGCTTGGCAGGTAGCTAAACTCACTGGAATAACAACCCTCCCCCACACTCTCTAGATGATTTTGGTTTCCTTGCTGACATATTCCAGCATGTAAACCGCGATGTTTATTGGGAGGGTGGTTTAGGGGGGTGGTTCTTATCAAGGGAGGAGATTCGTTTTGGACAGCCGCGTTTGTTCAGGTTTCCCGGGATTCAACTTACAGAGGGTTCCTAAACCCCTAAAGCCTATAGTCCCCCTTCAGTAGACAGAATGTGGCTTTGGGAATATCTTAATAAGGTCCCCATATACCCCCATATCCTTCTACTCAAGGGTGACTAAACCTGAACCGCTTCCTTAAAGGCCGGAACACTGAAGTGACGGGGCTGTTTGAAGCACTCATACCTTTGATAGAGAGAGTCCTGCACCATTGGGTGTATCTAAGCTACTTTACCATGCGAATTCAGCGACTTAGGGTGGTGTAGGATTGTAATTGGCTGCCCCTGGATTTGTTCCCGTCTGCCTGCAGATAGCCTGTTTTGGCCTACGTTGCCCCAGTGAACAAGTGCAGCAGATATGCCCGTGGTATTGTCCCCCCCTGTAAAAGTCGATATTAGGGGTCATGTTAATTATGGGCAATGTATATATATATATATATCACTATGATAAAGAGTATCCAACTGTTATAGAGTGGGAGCACTACCCAAGATGTGCTGCTGAGCCATTTCATTCTAGATTAGATGGACTGGGCCATATGCCTTCACGCAATCACATACTCCGTGTTGAGAAGATCCATGAGATTCTTTGTCCTTGCGGTCTCGCTGCGCAAGTAATGTGAGCTTGCAGGAGGCAGGTTGTTGAAGATATGGCCATTCGCTTCAAAAGCAGGATCTCAACTCAAAAACCTAAACTGCTCTGTGTTGCTAGCAAGCCGGACCGAAGCCCAGAAGCTGAACTGTTGATACTGTACTCTGATTCACTGGATCCTGCATTGGCCAAGTACACTCTACTGCCATAATGAGTAGAGGTTTGAAAAGTAGTGTCCTGAAGGTTTCGGTCATTAGCCGTACCTAGCCCCAAAGGGTTTTAGATCTGTGGGTTCGGGGTGATCTGTGCAGGAGGAACAACCCATCCCCGCTCTCATGCAATTTCAAGGAGGCGTTCTGAGTCCACCCAGAAAGACGTATATCCCTAAACCCGAGATCCTAAAGACTATTCCTCCTTACCTTATAGGGGCTGGGTGTAATCAACAACCCACCCCCTATTACCTTTCTTAGATTTTTTAATACATTCCTGGCAGTTTTTCTTAGTACTCCTTATATGGATACCACCTGCACGCCAAGACTTTAAGCTTGTACCCTTGAGGGGTCCCCAACACCCGAATCTGGGGCCATCTTCTATGGCTTCAGGATACGAGCCCTAAAGGTTTAGGGGTTTAGGGTTCAAAGGACATCCCTGATACCCGGCTGTAGGACTCCAGCTCGTCAAAGCATCCCAGCGCTGATCCACGCAATGCTCTGGAGACTTGCCTGGAAAGTCGGAGGTTCAGACCCCCATCTACCTACTGGGGGTTAGGAGGCAAGGAATAAGGGAATACAAGATAACGGGTTTATGTCGACATTATATGCCCAAAGAACCAGTAAGCTAAGGGTCAAGGGTTTGAGATGTGAGCAGCAGAGCATCTTTTTGGGGAGGTGGCTTCATACGGAGGGTCGAGGATTCAGCGTGCTTGGGGGTTCGGGGCCAGGGTTTACAGCGTGATTGTTGGGGTTTGGGATATAGTCCCCCTTAAGTAGATAGAATTGGGGTATATGGGGATCTGATTTTGATGTGCCCCCATCAGCCCAGCTGATGCAGTTAGCCTTTGTGTCTCGCGCATAGACTGCGAGCTTTGGAAGCCACGGTAGCTAGCCGCCCCCCCAAAGCTAGCGTGTAAGGCCAAAAAAGGCCCTACAAAGACTACTGAGCCCTTGTCTAAACTCCTGGTATCCCCCTTGATAAGTCCTACAGTACTTCCCCAAAATACTCCCCTATAAAATCCCACTTAAGGAGTTTAGATTATGGCTCACTGTCTTTTTCGGATTGGGCTCATGCAAGCATGGGACTCTTGAGGGAATCTTAGTCCTTGTGCTGCAGGCGGTGAAGGTTAAAAAGCCTTCCGGCCAGCTAGTTGGACCTTTAAAGGGGTGATCCGGGGGCATATAGAGCTGTATAGGATTTAGGGTTTAGGATTTGGTTTTCAGGGTTCAGGGCTTTGAGTTTAGGGTTTGGGGATGTATCAGCGGGAATGAGAACCTAGAGCCTCAAGCTGCGTCAGACTTTTGTCAACAGACTTCCCTTGCACCCCCCCAAGGTTTCACATTTGTCTAATTTAGGGCTTCAACATATACTATATAGCTTTCCTACATGGACCTTTTAGGCGCTGTTGTTGTCTGTCTTGTAGTTTTATGTTCTGGCTTGGTCTGATGTTCTTTGCTTGGTTTTGATAAGCCCCCCCCCCCCCCGAAGGCATTCAAACAAATTTACCTGCCCATTGGACCTTGGTGATCTCCTTGCATATCCCTACCGGGGGTTAGTGGGGAATATGGAATTGAAATCCCTTTTTATCGTTTTCCCTTATTCCCTACTAACCCTAAGGGTCCAAGGACCCAAATAATAGGGTTAGTACAATAATCAATATTAATGGTATTTGGGCCTTGAAACCCTATTATTTGGGTCCTTGGACCCTTAGGGTAAACCCCCAGTACGTATCGTCTACGGTAGGAACGATCCTGATGTTTGCGTGGTCCCTTGGATGCTTGGTCCTGTGGCTCTGCGGCATGACTAAACCCTGAACCCTGCACCTTAAAATCCATGACTCCCAAACCCCAGGGTTTAGGATTTAGGGTTTAGGGTTTAGGGTTTAGGGGTTTAGGGTCTAGGGTTTAGGCCCTTGACCACGCTGTACCCTAAACCCTAAACACCTAGGACTGTCCTGACGTTCTATGCCTTCGCGTCTGCCGGTTGCTCTGTGGCTCAGCGCCGCTGGCTTCACACCGCAGGTCCGCTTCTGGGTCTTTACCGTGGTTTGGGGATTACCTGAAACCCAAAAGACCTTCAGTTTTAGGACCCTGTACCATAATTCTGTATATGAAATCTTAAAACTGAAGGTCTTTGGGGCCTAAGGTAGGGTTTAAGGTTTAGGGTTTAGGGTTAGGCCTCCATAGATGCAGGTTTCCCAAAATCAGGGGCACCTTCCTGGGGGGGTCTCCTTAATGAGGACTACAATATTTTGGGGCAACCCTATTTAGGGAAACTACCATATGAGGCCATGAGACCTGGGGACTCCTTTTTGTAGGTCTTCTTGGTTTAGGGTTTTAAGACTTAGGGTATCCTGCAGCACATGTATCTCAAGCCCGCCGCGATGGCGTGGCCATGAAGTTTGTGATTCTGAGCTTCTAAACCCTAAGCCCCAAACCCCACATGCCAAACCATAGACTCTGAACTCTATGTCTTAAGCCTTGCTTAGTACTACGAGAACGCTCTTGCCATATAGCTAACTAAATGCTATAGACCATAGATCCTGAACTCTGTGCCTTAAGCGCGGTAAGCTATTGTCCTTGAACTCTGTGCCTTAACCAGACCCTGGAATCTATGCCTGAAGCCTCCTAAACCCTAAATCCCCTAAACCTACACCCTAAATCCTAAACCCTAAACCTTAAACCCTAAACCCTAAATCCTAAATCCTAGCCAGCCAGGCACTGCCTTCTTCATGCTCCTTGGAGCCTTGCAGCTGGCCGTCCTGCTAGCTACTTGAATCATTCGGCTTAAGGGGCATATAGGGGTTTCCCAAAATTAGGGGTACCATTTTGGGGGTCCCAATAAGAAGGATCATAGTATTTTGGGGGTCTATATTGGGGTCCCCCTATTTTGGGAAAGTACCATATAGGGTTGGGGGATATTATAGAGCCCAAGATGGCTTGAGGGTTTAGGGTTTGGGGTTTAGGGTTCAGGGTTTGGGGTTTAGGTTTTAGGGTTTGGGGTTTGTGGTCTAGGGATGGGGTAAGATGCTGTACTCCTTTTGGGGTTCTAGGCTTTTACACCAAAAAGGTAAAGTCTGACTGTTGCAACCATTCAAAGATACGTATCAGATGGAGTTTGCCAAAAGCACTGCTCCTCTGTTGGACACGACATAGGCAGGACTATAGCACTTCACCTTAGTCTGGACGAATACCAGGGTTCTGACCTGTTGTACAATTACTAGAAAGGGATGTAGAAGGAGTTGGAATTTGAAAGTGTTGCTCAGGCTGTGTTAAGGGAAGGGGTTGGGACAAGCCTCAGTAAGTACAGGTATATGTAGACCGCGAATGGACACCGCTTGGGTTCTTTGGGTCCTTAACAATGATAGCTACCTCAGACCTTACCTGGACCCCGAAAGTATGTAAAATGATAGCCCGAAATTTCAAAAAGTCAGACGGCAATTGTTCTACATACTTGTGTGGTTCAGGCACATCCTAAACCATTTGGGCCGATGAGTGCAGACCAAAGCTCTTCTAGGCCTACCACAAGCTGCTGAGGGTGATGTGTAGGCTCCTTGAGATTCTCGTTTGAAGCTTTATACCTCTTTTGGCGATTGAGGTCGGCTATGGCGCGTGGAAGAACCCTCTCTTCTGGGGATCGACGTTGGGTCCCTCGTCATGCTGGGACCTAGATTATGGGACGTAGCCGATGGCTTGAGATCAAGGACTTACGTATTTGGATATGGCAGCTGGGCGGGCGAATTGATTGACGGAGTTCGTACTTGAGGGCACTTGTGGTAATCAAAGAAATCTACTGATTATCAATGCGCTTCGAAGTCTGTTCGGAGTTTGGATGTGAGCAGTCATGTGGGTGGTTGTCAAAAGCATGGTCCCTTTTTGGATCCCTATTATAATGCGGCACCTAATACTTAGGGTACCCAAAAAGGGACCATGATTTTGACAACCACCCATGTGGGCAAGTCTCCCCAAAAGGCAGCTCCAGTGAGTGCCCTCAAGTCCTCGTGGCAGCCGACTGTTGGAGACGTCCATTCGGGTATTTCCACATGATGTCTTCCCTTTCTACCAAAATAGAAAAACCTGAACCCTGAAGCCTTGTGCCCTAAATAGTAGTTTCCATTTCCTTTTCCATCATCCCAATATTACCCTAACATAACCCCAATATTACCCTGACTCCCCTTTTATACTGGATCCTGTAGCCTGGAAGCTTCAAATCCACTACCCCGCCAGGCTGCCCAAACCGTAGCCCACTGCCCAGAAATATCCTAAGCCCGACTCCAAAGCTCTCTACCCTAAGGGTCCAAGGATTCAAATAATAGGGTTTAGGGCCCAAATATTATGATACATCTGGGCCCTACAACCATATTATTTAGGTCCTTGGACCCTTAGTGGACTATACTAAACTACACAAGGGACCTCCCACTCCTGTGTTTCGGGTCCCTCCGAAAGGCTAAGCTTGACAGTAGCCACCTATTCACTACCAAACTGCAAGACCTTGAAATGCTGGAGGCGTGTGCTTCCTGATGATGGCGGCACAGGTACCTCATGGATTGCGCCGAATGTGGGCAGGATTCTTGATCTTCGTTGTGCCCAGGCAGCAACAGCCATAGACATGCTACGGTAGCAGTGCAAGAAAGAGTTCTAGCAATGGACGTACTTCTAGTAATATCTCCAGGCTTGACGCTGAATTGCTCGAGGAAAGAGGGTTTGTGCGTCGGCGTCTCGGCCTTCGTGATGCAAGCCATCAGCAACGTTCCGCTGAGGATGCAGAATTTTAACAGTGCTTGCAGGTAACTTTGAGGGTGCACGGACAGGAACTCAAGAAAGCAACGAGGGCGCCAGTGCAGACAATCGATGAATCGATGGGGGCTCTTTAGGAATGACTGCTCGGCATCTAGAGGCCTGTCGCGCTAAGGTGCCATTGACCACCTTCATTGAGAACTTGCAGCAGCCCATTGTCGCCGTGGCTGCTCGGAGACACGAGTTTGGCCAGGGACATCCATAGATCCATGAATGTTTTGCTTAGAAGCTTGAGATAGCAGTTTACCAGCAAGATGGTTCTTCCCCGGTGAGTAACTAGAGGTCCTCTTGAGATACTCAGGAGGCGTGACGCGCTTACTTCTGTGACGAAATCTGGAGCCTCTATGTCTAGCAGGGTATCAGTGAGGGTGTGCTGTTTGTCTCAGCGCGCCAGTGGACCTTATCCAATGGCAGGGCGGGGGTATCAGCGCCGCGAATGGAACCTTAAGCACAGCAGCAATTCTGGAGGTTCAAGTCTGAGTGGTGCTTTTGGCATACTGACACGCAGTAGGCACAGTACTGCTGTTGTTACTAGTACCCAAACGCTGGCGATTACAACGCGCATACATCTTCATCTTGTGAAAGGGTAAAGCTGCGCCAGCTTTCTGCCTGTCTGGCTATGGCCATAGTTCCCTTCTATATTCACTCCTTGGGACTTAGCTTGGACCTTAGAGCCTTAACCCTTTGGGATTCCCTTATATTCTTATTACAGGTAATTAAGGGTTAACCCTTAGTAGGGGTCCTAAGTGCCACGTAGTTCATTAGTTGGGCTTCAAGACTTCCCCTAAACCCACAGGACAGAAGTGGCCTGCGGCTTGTGAAGCTTGTGACGTGCGGAACTCACGAATCCACTCGCCCCCGGAAAGAACACGCCCCCAACAATTGACATTCCACAGATCACGTTGTGGTACCAACATGTGAATATGTTGTTAATAGCGGTTGGAGCGGCTTTATGATGATGCAAGGGGTCTTATCTTGCTGGACTGCTAGCTTATGCCGTTGAAGTAGTGAAACCCCCTGTAGCCCTTGCCGATCAAAATCCACGGGAGACATTGGTTCTGGGCTAGTAGCCCTATATCTCCCTCCCTCCCTTCCCTCCCTCCCTCCCCTCCCTCCCTCCCCTCCATCCTCCTTCGCTCCGTCCTTTGTTGCTTCTTCCTTGCTTTCTTCCTTTCTGCCTTGGGTTGTACTTACTTGTGTTCTCTTGTTCTGGCGGCAGAGGATTTTCCCGTTGATCTCTCTTTCAAAGAACAGTTCGACTTCTTGTTGATCCTTCCTTTGATTTGTTATTGATCCTTCCTTGGATTTTGTTGATGCTTACTTGACATTGAAGATCCAAATCCCCTATACCCAATGACGCTTCGGAAACTAAAAGTCTGCGCCATGGCACCAGTAAAGACTCCTCAGCGCCCGAGATGAAATGAACAGTTCAACAAAGCATGAAACAAGGTCGACGAACTCGCGCCTTCCGAGCCATATCAATCAGGGAACACCAGAGCTGTCCAGAAGTTATAACCGATGATAGCCTGATGTAGGGTAGATGTCGCCGCACTTCTAGCTAGCTGAACCCCAAAAGTATGTATTGGGGTCATATTGGGGGGTTATATTAGGGCTACGTTAGGGTTATCTTAGGGCTATATTGGGGTTATATTGGGGTTATATTAGGGCTACACTAGGGTCATGTTAGGGTTATATTATGCTAACAATCTTGCATGACGCTTTGTACCTTATGCTCGTAGTAGAAGCCAACCCAACCTCCAATGAACCCTCACCCCTAAACCCTGAAGCCTAAGCCTTATAAACCCTGAATCCTTAAACCCCGAACCCTAAACCCTGAATCCTGAGCCCTAAACTCCAAGTCCTAAACCCTGAACCCTCTGAACCCTCAACCCCGATCTTAAACCCCAAAGCCCTGACCCCTAGACTCTAAAGCGTCAACCCTAAAGCCTGAAGCCCGAACCCCATGTCAACCCAGGCTATAAAGGCTCCTCAAACGGCCAAAGACAATTTGAGTCGTGTTTTTTTTTGTGGTTAAACCCAGTAAGATTACCCTAAACCCTATTTACCCCCATATAAACCCCTATATAAGCCCCTATATAACCCCTGGATACATGTGAGTAATGTTTTTTCTGGTGATTAAACCTAGTAAGATAATATTCC